CACACCTGTGCCCAACGCACTCAAGACAGACCGCGGCTCACTCAATTTCCACGTTTTGTCTCTCACATTCTCTTGCGAAAGCAATCATTCAGTCAACCGCAACAGTTTTCCAATAATTTTTCTATCCCGCGCATTCGCCCCCTCTTTGTTTTATAGCCCGAGGGCCAACTGTGTTTACCGGGAAGTTTGCTATTCATTTGAGAAAGGAACTTCATAAGCTTTTAGTTGTAAGCCGGCAAAGGAAGTTACTTTTCTAATGCGTCAGTCAAAGTTAAATTCAGTTAATATAAACATAAATTTATATACAAATCCAGTTACTCATTAATGTTACTCATTTTATTAAATGGAACTGTTGTTATCAATTACTTGGAAGATACATTAAAAACAAAGACACATTTTAAATATTCATGTTGCTTAAGCCTTTACCATCATCATCTTCTCAGATGATAAAGGGCATTCTGTAGCATAATATACATTTTTTCTTTAAATGACGGGTATCTGACAAGTCTAGTTTACAAATATTCAAACAGTTCGTTCGATTTACGTTTTTCCAGAACATTTTTGCAATATTCGCTGAATGCTTCTTTGTTTCTAGGCAGTTCATGTCGTACTTTTCGCTTTTGATTTGTTTTCCGCACACAAAAATATGGTTCATCTGTCGATTAGTTTTTAATTACGTTCGCCCACTGACGTCAATAGATGCCAGGCATTTGAAATATGCCTGTATGAACATATTTATTATGGGTAAGTACAATGTGTGAAGAAAAGATTTTTCAATTTTCTGATTTCTGGATATAGTTTTTGTTTAATGCCATTAATGAAGCAATTTGATTTTCTCACACAGCTTAGCTTGTCCATATACAACTACCTTTTTTTATTTTTTCCTCAACAATGCATATATCCCTGTAGTCAATAGCAAATTGATTATGGAAAGATTTCACAAAGTCATTGCCAATAATAAAGTGTCTTCTTGACGCCTTCAAATAACTTGGCTTTGATTCTTTTATTGTGTCTAATTAAAGCTCTCTGTTGTAAGGCTGCCAAGCCCTTTTGATCTAAAGTGAAGGGCCTTCTGCAGCTTAGTGCCTGCCTATCTCTCCCCGTAGAGACGAGCAACAGCAACTTTAACAAGTTCTGTCTGCTGTCAGCGAAAAAGAACAACAAGAATCTGGCAAAAGCCACTTAAAGAAGAAGACGCGGTGACTTTGAATGCACTCGGCGCACAGCTTAACTTTGACCCAGTTGACACCTTAACTGCAACGGCAAAGAGTAAAAGATGACACATATTCTGTTGGTTTCTCGTGGACCATCTTCGAGGACGTCGACTCCGGATTAGAACATGAGTGGCATTTTATTGGACTCTTTGTTAAATGCATTTTTCGATCATTTTTTGTAATCGTTAAATTGAAATCGTCTGTAAATTTGTTCCCACGGTGTGAATACAGTTGATAGAGTTTAAAACACAGTCTTCAATGTGATTTAAATATATTCTATCACCCTTTCTCTATCTCTATCTCTATCTCTATCTCTATCTCTATCTCTATCTCTATCTCTATCTCTATCTCTATCTCTATCTCTATCTCTATCTCTATCTCTATCTCTATCTCTATCTCTATCTCTATCTCTATCTCTATCTCTATCTCTATCTCTATCTATATCTCTATCTCTATTTCTATCTCTATCTCTATCTCTATCTCTATCTCTATCTCTATCTCTATCTCTATCTCTATCTCTATCTCTATCTCTATCTCTATCTCTATCTCTATCTCTATCTCTATCTCTATCTCTATCTCTATCTCTATCTCTATCTCTATCTCTATCTCTATCCCTATCCCTATATCTATTTCTATTTCTATTTCTATTTCTATTTATATTTATATTTCTATCTCTATCTCAATCTCTCTCTGTCTCTCTCTCTTACATATGAATATGTATATATTAATTTAGCTGATTTTCTGTTTTTCTTTTTTAATAGACAAATAAACGAACCGTTGATAAGCAATGGCAGCTCTGTTGGAGGAGCAGTGTGTTTTCTAAATAACAATTCAAAACTTAAATGTGCATTAATACACAAGACACGAACTTCCAACGCACTGCACCTAAAACAAATTGCGAAATTTAAGAAATAGAAACCACAACAGGGAAAATAAGCAAACAATTAGCGGCACTGCGAAAACAAGAAAACAAAAATAAATAAAAAAAAATATTAAATACAATGAGTAGCAACGGCTAACAGCGCCCCCTAGCGCACGTTTCGCAAGCAGGTCAACTTGTCATAATGATTTACGTTTCGTACAAACTCGCCACTGCTAACAACGCCGCCGACGACGACGTCCGCAGCACCTGCACAATTGCAAACACACCTCACACCGCACACATACTCACAAACACACATATACAAATGCACACCAATACACACGCTGGTGCACCGCAACAGCTATACAAATTAATGTTTTTATTAGCATTGCTAGTGTAGCAACTGCAGTGCACAGTGGAACAATACGAAATAAAAATCGATTTTGTCGTTTTATATTTCAATTTTCTTGATTAAGTATCAACGAGCAAGTAGACATATGCAGCGCAATCTCTTATCAAACTTAGAATTACTTTGCACTTTTGTTGCAGGCGGAAAAGCCAGTGAAAAATAAAGTTCCTTTAAGGAAAACGATTCGTCATTATAACCTGACAGATTGCACAAGGGTAATAATTTTCAAAAATGAGCTCTCTTCATTAATTATTAACGAATATTAGCAATTACTACTATCATTGATTCATTATCATCAGACCTGCTTATTGGATTTTGATTTCTATATAAACAAATATATAAATGGTTAACAGTGTATAGCTAATTTTAATATAGTATGTTTTCAGTATGTATTCAGCCACTGTACATATCACCAACAAATTCAATGCACGTCGCCGTTACCGCTGCCGTCCAATTCTTTTGTCAAGTGCAAGCGGGCGTATACGTAATATACTATATTTTTGCCTACTGCGCTTGGCAAGTTGTTTTGTCGCGCATTGTTGTTGTAGTTCTGTACAAACACTTGCACAACTGCTGCTGTCATTGCCATTGTTGTGGCTAACAAACCAACACAAATCAAGCACACTAATTTTAACAATACGCCCCACCGTTGAGAACTGAAATATTTCTTTTGGCGTTGACCAATTTTGACGTTTTAAAAAACACGTTTTGCCATATAATCAAGTACACCAGTGTGTGTGTGAGTATTGCAAGGTGTGTCAGCACCTGTCCATTGCGGTTTTTCCTATTACGAGTCGAGTTCAAAGCCATCAAGCGACATTGCCTTGGAAATAATAATTGTAATTAATGAATTCGAGCATAGGTAATTGAATGTGAAAGGCTTTCTCTACAGCCACCCACCCACACAAAAGCTTCCAAACTATGCGAAAAGCACAACTGAAGGTTTAAGATCACAAATGGTCTATGAGTGTTTGATAGTCTCTTACTTTCCATAGGCTACAAATCACTGGAAATATCCATCTATGTCGCTGAGGGCCTTTCACTTAGAGTCCCAGCTCGAATTTCCCGCACAAGGCGACGATTTCCGAGCTTTAAATGGCAGTCCGTTCACTTGGATTGGTTTGGGTGTGTTTACAGATCATTTGTGGGTCATATGCATAAGCAGCAACCACAACAAGCTGCATGGTCAGCATTACGGCAATGCAGGCCAAATGCGGCTAATGGGTGCAATCAACTTGGCAAAATGGTAATGCAATACTTCTTGACAGTTTATATTCCGCTTGAAGCTCTTGTAGCCAAAACGGAAAGAGGAAGCCGCAATAAGTTGTCAGAACACAATGTCATAAAAACAGATTTTTGTTTTTCTTAACGAAACTCAGGTGCAAACTACAATACAACAATTCGAACCCATGTGAGACCAAATTTTATATGAATTTTATTTTATAATATTTGAAATACGTACATAGCTTTGACAAATCATCATTATTTACAAAGCAAAACAGAAATTAAATTCCAGCGCTGACTGAATAAATTACATGAATGAATGAGTAACTTCAATGAAATAAATTTATTACTTTATATTCTTTTAATACCCTGTGATTAAAAGCATGATGGCTAAAGTTTAATATAATATGATAAAAATATCATAAACTAGAATTACATTAACTATGTATATTATGAGTTATCGATTATTATTTATAATGGTATATTTATAATAATATATACTAAAATATCTCCATCTTCCCATATTTATTGACAACATATAATATAAATAAAATATTTAAAGGGTATTTGTTAAACGAAGTGAAATCGGCTTTTCTTGCAATACACATGTATATGATTGCATTTGTGTGTGTTTGTTTTATTTTTAATACGCGCTGCTCTGCGCACTGCACTTGACTCCAATTACTGATTAGTGTTTTCGGATTTATGCTTGCTTAAGCAGAAAACGAATACGTATATGGGATATGCGACTCTCCGACTCCAAAGCTCAACTGTCTGGCAGAGTGCTTGTGCGTGCAATATTTCATTAAACAGATGCGAGAGTATAAAACAAAACTTTGTTTACCTAAGCTATTCTGATACTAATGCACTCTGTTAAAAGTTATATTAAATTGACGCTGGCAGCAGCACACATTTCTACTAAAGTATAAGGGACATACTGCAGGACGACTACCACGATATGGGTCAAAGTTTATATGGGTTACTGAGACTTATTGTCGTTGTTGGATAACAATGGGTGAAAGCTAAGCCACAAGAGATGTTCGCTGACTTGCACAGGCCACAGAGCGTACTCCAGCAGGCTCAATGAAAATGATATGCAACTGTTTTCTACAGAGCATTGAGAGACTTCAAACGTATTGCAAAATGGACATGTTGTGTGTCAGTCAATTAGATGGATGGGCTCGTGCTAACGCTCGTTTGAAGAGCGCATCTGGAGCTTTCCCAACACAGAAAGAGCAACCCATCAATGTCAATAATAATTAGGCGGCACTTGTTGCATGTTTAGACTTACCGTTACGTGAAACATCAAGCTCCACCAGATTTTCAAAGTTTTGTATGTCCGGGGGCAGGCGTCCGATTTCATTGTCGCTCAGGCCCAGTTTTCTCAGGCGATTCAATCTGAAGAAATTCTGCAAGAGAAAGAGTGAAAGAGAGAGAAACAAAATAAATAGCTGGTTAAGACAACGGCACGACACAATGCAGCAAAGCCTTTCTCTAGTCTTTGGCAAACAAAGGCCGCAATCGTTAGGACGTGTTTCTGTTCATCTTCGAGTTCGTTTTCGTGGTCATAAATTTCGAAGAGTTTGTCATTTGTAAGAGCCGTGACCCATCCGGCGGGTCCAGCATCCCAAGCTATTAGAAGTTGCCTATGTGCCTTTGCTGTTGCTTTCTTTTCATCAGACATGTCGCCAACAATTCATTTATGAAAATCACGATTTTCCGGGCTCCCCATCAATTTTGACGTTCGATTTACAATAAATTATTTTGGCGCTCCTCGTACTTTCCCAAAGTGAAGGGTCGCGACCGATCACAGCCATAAACATTCAGTTGACCTTCCAGCTATGTGGAGCACACACACACACATTCACACCAGCCCAGTCATCTCTTGGCACTTGGAAAAGAAAGCAGCGCCCCGTAGTGGCTGAGTCAGTGAGTCATAGACCTCAAGGTTAACAGCCGCACCGGGCGGCGTTGCTGCTTTCATTGTGCTTGCGATTTTAATCGGCCATTGTTGGGTCACTCCTCTTACTTCTGCCCCCAAAAAGAATCTACCACACATAGCAGCAGTCGCGACAATAACAATCATGAAAATAATTCATAGTTGTAGTCGTAAAAATTATTAACTTTTTCGCTTGTCTCAAAATACTTGTGACACTGAGTGCTGCATGAGTGTCGCTGTTGAGACCGTGACTCGATAAAGTTGACGACCCAGTTCAACAGCCAGAAAGGTGTAAAAAAAACTCACTAGTTGTCTACTTACGAGAAAGCTGAAATGCTTTACTTACATCTCAAAATAACAACAATAAATGCGAAGCGATTCAATTGTCACTTTTATTCTATGGAGCTCAACAACGAAGCACATGATCTGCATCTATAGATACACATTGGTAAAACTTATCTGTACTATGAATAACTACTTGTTCTGTATTTAAATCATTTTCTAATGCTCAAAATTTGTCAAATGTTATTAATTTATCCTTTACAAATGAAATGATAATTTAAAGGTAAAAAAGTTGGACTTGGACTATTTCTATACCCAAATCACAACTTTTATAAAGAAATATAAATATTAAATACTAAAAATAAATAATTAATAAATTAATAGACCGAATCATACATACATCTGGTATTTCTGAACCAATTTCCTTCATATTTATGATGTTTCGTTATTACTAATTTACTCAAACGACCCGCACAGCGAAAAAACACGAATAAATTCATTTTTGTTGGTCAGTTTCGCTAAGGGCAAAGTACTTTGACTCGCTCCGCAATGGCATACGTTTTCCTGTTTCATTTGTACAAACGAGCACCTACAATGTCCCAGATTCTGTTTCCTATTTATAAAAAACGAAAGGCCTTTCAACAAATCATGCGTCAGAAAGTTGTATCTGTCAGGGACAAAAGCTAGCGACGAGCGAAAAATTCAGGAAGACGAAACGAAACGAGAAAAAATGACAACAAAAATACAGTCATGCAAATTGCATATGAAATAGGTATGAGAAGTGAGGGCTGGTGGCCCGTAGACAACAGAGCGGTGCAATAGCCGACAATGCAAAAAATAAAAGCAAAATGCACCCAAAGGAGGACAAGACGTGATGACAATAAAAACGAATGCGAATTGTAAACTTTTAGCCAAGTGCTGCCAGCCAACAAAGACCCACGCCACTGCCCTCCGCCCGCATATCCAGAGCCCACAGAGTCCACAGTCCACGGCCCACGCTGTGGCAGTGGCTTGTTGTATCTATGCGACTCGCTCTTTTGCATGACCATAAATTACAAGCCGGCCGGCCGGCATTGCTACGTGCCACACGTCCATTGCACGAGTACTACCAGTTCCCCCGACATACTCGCACTAGCTCACTCACTCACACACACAGACACATTGATCGACTCACTCACTCGCACGACATGCATTCACTCAGTCGGCCAACACACTTTTACTATTGTATCTAGTTGGAGCAGGCGCCCAGCAATCGACAGCCAGCAACTAACTGAATAGGTTGTGTTGGCCAGGCCAACAAGTTGAGCCAGCTTGCATAGGTTGCAACTCAGCAGCAAAACGTGGCGCGCATATGACGTAGACCCATGACGTTAAAGCCAGATACTGAAGCTGCATTCGATGGCATCCAAGTAGCTCCAAACCAGGCCACAATTTAATTAATCCACAAAGCGTTCGTACGCGCGCAGTTGGCAAAGCAATTAGTTTTGTTGAAATCGAATTTTGGAACCACTTTGCACTGCCTAACAGCAATTTTATTAGCTTTACATGCCAATGCAAAACTGGCTAACATTTTTAATCTATTTGCATGCACTATAACTAGTAGATTGACTAAAAACGCTGGGCCACACTTTACAACATAACTACAAGCATTGTTTTTATTCAGTAAAAAGGAGGGGTAAGATTTTTTGGCTCTGTCTGATGTCGATATATAGGGTGTATTTGAATTGGCTACTCCTGACTAGAGTATTCTTAAATATTTTCGAACCATAAAACTGTGTATGCGTTCACTGCGCTGAACCATGACACGAATATAAATATACACAATACAATACAATACAAAACAATCCAAAGCAATACGAAAAGATACATAGACACACACACATACATTCGTTCACAACCTGCACATCCATGCAGTGCGCTTCGTTGATTTTGAGTAATTTTATAATGTATCTGCAAGTGTAATCAGCTAAATGTATCTCGTTCTTTGTACACATATGAACACACACATGCGTACACATCGACAGCGAAATCAATGCTTGGTGGTGTGCATGTTGCAAATGACTGGGCGAGCAGCAAATGCCAAAACGGCGTACCTCACAGTAACAATCGCAACAGTTGAAAACGAGTTCTAGATATGAGTCGTACATATCTTGCGGGACGCATCTACTAAACGCGAAAACCAGCTGAGCTAGAACAGAGCAGAGCAGCGAGACGAGCCACACTTGAAATTGAAAGGCCGTTGATGGCACAAAAATATACGTATGCATATGTATATACTACGAACATGTATTCATGCAACTTGGCCAACCGTCAGAAGTTGCGGCATTGCTGACACAGGCACAGATACAAGTAAGCAAGCACAAGTTTTTGAGTATGTTGGTGGATCCGACTTTGTGTGCCATCCACAACCATCCCCAGCCTAGGCCAACTCTGCCTGCTGACCGATTCTGTGCGCCTGCTCCATTTTGTACATCTTCATTTTCCTAGCAAGGCACACAGACATCGCTCTAACGGAGCAGTGAGTGCACGCTCATAGCTTCATCCATTGTTCTTCTTAAAATTGTCGCAGCCACAAGTCGCAAGTTTCACGCAGCATTTGTCACTGCGACAGCTTGGTTTCGAAGCTAAATGTAATTTGTCATTTATCTCGTGCAGACAAGCAGATATGTTAGTTGTGCTATTTGATGAAACGAATCGATAAATTTCCCCCACGGTAGCTCCTATAATAATACTTATTTTTCGCTGAAAGTATTCCAAGTGCAAACGGTTTGTTGACGTCAGTTAGTGGATTATTGTTTAAATTCAGTCAGCAAATAACAACGGTTTCAAATAATTTTAAAGTAAATGCTCGACTAAAAGATATCTAAGTATAACATGAACAATATTAATATAAACATTGATTTTAAAATACACAAACAATGATTGAAAACAATAAAAAAAAGTTGAGCCAAATTTATCACATCAATCAAAATTGCGCTAAACCAAAGAGATAAGAAAATCGTAGAGAAGTTCGATCTGGCAAGTTATGTGAGACATCGTATCTGTATATATATATGTATATTCTATACATATATATATATATATATATATATATATATATATATAAATTTAGGAAAAATACGATTAAGAACTAATTTATTTATGTATAGAATATAGCTATAAATAAATAGTATACCTGAAAATAAAGACGAAAGCATTTTAAATATAAAGGAATAGAGAAATCAAAATGGAATCCACATAAAATGAAAATTATTATATTATAGAGCAAATTTTCAATGAATCTGAACTTGAATCAAGCTGAAGTTTATTCAATGTAACATCTGCGCAATTTTATTCTTTAGACATACACCTCTAATTGTGTTTGTGTTTACAGGGTATTACAACTAATTGAAATAGCTTGTGAACATTTATTGTACGTCTGTTTATGGTAACCGGTTTTGAGCGACTCGACGCGGCTAAAGAATTTATATAAGCGAAGCGTTGAGTGCGCAGCTAGAAAAAATAAAATAAAAACAAACTAACTGTGACCCATTGCAAAAGCTAAATAGATAAAATCCATTTCGAATTTCGGCCGCAACATAAGGTAGAACTATCGGGCACAATAAGACACTATCAATCGGGCCAGCTTATAAGCTAAGTTTCATTTGCTTGTACGCTTTGCTAAGCCTGAAGAGAGAGGGAGGCGAGCACGCCGACGCCATTTTAAATGATATTTAGTTGTTGTTTTCGTGGCTGCGCTGCTGCTAAATGATGTCATTGCCGACGTTGTGGTATTGTGTTCCAATAGCCAGACAAACAGACAAACAGCCGGTTAAGTTCTCAAAAAATAAAAAAACGCACCTGCAATAACAACGGCGCGACGTTTCGAATTGCAAAAGACAAGCAGCCAAAACGGGAAGGTGCTCAGGCTTTTGTAGGTTTGTGTACCTGGAGACCAGACCCCAAGGCAGCGGCAGGCGATAAGAGGCGATTACTTGATATCTTATCTGCGGGCGTGACTAATTGGCAGCCAACGAAGAGAGCATGGAATACGGCTCTATAGTACCCACAAGCAGGGTGGACAACCCAATTTAATACTCGAGTGAAAATGTTGAACTTTCTACGAAAGACACTTGAGGTAGGTTCCACAATCCGCAAATTAAATTCTGGAAAACCACAACGCATTTCGCATTCTAATGACACTTAGCTCAACACTGCGCCCTTGATATGATTATCAATAATTTGAAAGCCGTGAATTATGGATCATCCTTTAATTACAAAGAATAAGTCAGAACTTTAATTTGTCATATTTTTAAATTGAATACGATCTTAAGTCAGAAATAAATAAGGGCCAAAATATTTGATATCACTTTAAAAAATTTTTTATAAAATAAAAGATATATTTTCAGTAATTCTAACAGTTGCTCACGGGTCTCGAAAAGAGAGCGACTTCTAAGTATTGGAAGATAAGAAAGCCAAAAGCGATAGCCGCTATCTTTCTCTATTAATGGATTTGCTAATTTTAGCTATTAAGCTATACGTGTTTTACGTATATAGCTTAACTTGTAACTAATTTAAAAAGTGCTCATCTCTAGCTACCAAAGCTAACAACGCACGATATGAATAGACCACAAGATTGCTGCAGATTGTCGTCGAGTTAGCAATACAATTGAAGCACGGATTTATTGTCGCTATGACAACGCGGAAATTGTCTGCCGCACACAAACAACTAAAGGGTTGATGGCCGATCAACAACAGTAACATCAACATCCAGTAGCAGCAGTGACAGCAGCAACAGCAGCACATCCGACTTTTTCAGTTGATTTGGAATTCAAACGAACTTCCACAGCGCAGCAAGAAGAAACATCATCATTATGGCTGTCCATTGTCATCGTTTGGTTTGCTGATATTGTTGTTGTTGTCGTCGGTCAGCAACATGTTGTTGCTGCCGCTACTGCTACTGCTTGCAACGAGTGGTTCCATTGCTTTAGTAAATGCTGTTGCTCTTGTTGTGCACTTTATTGATGTAAACGAACAGCAGAAATTTGCATTAGAAGTTCATTAGCGAGTGCGGCTAACCGCGAAGGAAGCTCTAGAAAATGGAAAAACTTTACAATTTCATGACATGCGGCCAACAACTGAGTGGAAATTGCATAAAAAATGCTGGAAGAGTTATTCAGGACTTCAGGTTTGCCGTAGGTGAGATACCCTCACAAAAGTTAACAAGAATACAATTCAACTTTATAATCAGATAGATGGGATTAATAATGATTACGACAAAACTTGGTAATATGAACTCATTAATTACGTCTGACTTGTTAATAACTTTTTATCTCACAATTTTCTTAAGCCATAACGAACGATGTAAGACTTTAAAGGAAACTGTTTCAGAAGTTTGTTTAAATATATAATTTATTAAATTAACAATTTTTGGGCTTTTTCAAGCAACTTAAAGACTAACAAATCTGAGAAAAAATTTTTTTGCGACGTTTTATTTTTAATTGTGAGGCGTATTTTTATACGAATGGTTTATGGCAGCAGTTGAAATTTCGTATCAAACCAGGGCCAACTCGATTATCATCCGCGGTAGAACGGTATATATAGATATATAATGTCGTATATAGTACTTGAATACATATATAAGCCAAGCAAGCTGACAACCCCCAGCACTCACCACTTGTTGCTATGTCAACGCTTTGTTTTCTGTTTATAGCTCTCTCTACTTGTTGTTGCTTGTTTGATTTGTTTGCTTTTCGTCAGCTGCATATAAAACGGAAGTCAGTAGAAAAATATTATTTCTGACTCTTTTCATTCGAAATTATTCAACCACTGCTAATCGATGGACAAATCATTTGAGCCTATGTAAAGTTCTCTTTAGTTTCCGAATAATAATTTTTTTCTGATAAGTACGATATGTTATATATATATATATATATATATATATATATATATATATATATATATATATATGAGTATGTGTCTTTCTTCATGCATGTTGCGTAATTGGCGATTCAATTATGTTTGCATGCCGCAAACATTCTAGGCCCAAGTGGAATGAACAGAAATTTGTAAAAGAGCCGCGCCCCACTGTGCATCCATATTAATTAAAGACTTCCGCTCGAGCTGCACACGGACGTCTTTTGTTGTCATCATTGTCTTGGCAGACAAATATCTACATAGATGACGACGGGTAGGGAAGCAATGCAATGGCTAGCGGACAGTGAGAGACAGTACACCTAAAGGGGGTAGTTAAGGGGTTGATGATCTCTAGGTAGTTAGCAGGACTTCAGCCTTTCGTATTCATATGTAAAAAGATCATAGTAAGGGATGCAGCATATACATAAGAAAAAACTGAATCTGAACACTTTAGTAGAGTCCATTGACCCAATCCGTAATTAACAATATTTAATTCTTAGAAAGAAACACTTAAAAGATCTAGGAAAACTGTTTATAATTGATTTCAATTCGATTTTCAAAAAAATTTCCATTTCCAATGTGCAACTTTTTATGATTTGTTCTATAAATATTTTGCCCCATTTTCATGTGCCGAAAGGTAACAGCTGTTAGACCCAAACTCCATAAACCAAAAACATGGTGTCAAAGTAGGCACACATACACACATATGTACGTATGTATAGGCACACACACATACACTTATAGTATATTTATACTGACCTTTGGCAAATCGCGTATGTGATTCGCATCTAAAAAAAGTTCCTCGAGGGTTCGGGAGTAGCGTAAAATTTCCTCCGGCACTTGGGGCAGGGAACAGTGGCGCTTGTCCACGAATTCCACCTGCCTGTTGCAGCCTTTGAAAATTGGAATGCACTTGAACATGGTTTTGGTTGATGTTATTGTTGCTGCTGCTGGCCACAATTGATGACGTATTTCGTAATGGTTGTTGTTGCTGTTGTCGTTTTAGGCGTCGTTGTCGTTGCTGCTGCCGTTGTTGACTTTCCACAACAACAACATACACTTATAGCGTAACGTTTGCAGCATCTGTTGCGAACGCACACAAACACGGAAACACTCACACACACACAGAAACAGATAGAGACAGAGACAGGCACGCGCAGTCTTTGTTGCTGGCCTGGCCCTGCACTACGTTTCTTTATTTTTTCCGTTTGTTGTTGTTGTACTTTTGTCGGCTTTATTTTCGTTTCACTTTTATCGCACACGTTTTGGCAACATTTTGCGCTAATTTACTGCAATGAATCAAGCTTTTAATACATCTTACTGAGCACTCTTTGCGCTCGTATTTGTATTGGTTCGCGTTACGAAAAGGTAGCAAACGACAGAAACAGAAAAATAAGAGGAAGCAGAAGCACACGCGTCAAAAATTTCTTGCCTTCGACGTCCTTGCCTAACACTTATTGTTGTGACTCCAAAGAGAGACAGAGTGAGAGAGCAGTAGCGAGTACGAGAGCGCAGAGCGACATGAGGCCTACCATAGGTTCTGCAAGTATTGGACTATGCGTGTGTGCGAATGAGTAAAAGAGAGTAATAAGCAAAATAATGAATAATAATAAATTCTAATTGGCACTTATGTCTGCCCCTCTTCTTGCTGCTACTGATTTTGTTGTTGTTTTTGTCCGGCTTTCATAGTCGCACTTTGGTCACATTTTATCACGTATCACAAGTTTTCATAGTTGGCAACGCAGAACGAAGCAATCGCAACATTTGTTGCTTCTTCCATTGCAAACAGCCACGCACACACACGCACATAGGCACACAAACACTCGAAAGCGAGAACAAGCGAAGCAACAACAAGTCACAATGACACTTGACTAGTGCGCGGTAGCCCCGCTTGCGAATAGGCTTAGAATGAGAGAATTGTAAAAGACAGCCCAAAGCGTAGACGATGAAAAGCAACATGAGAAATACCGACGCACCAAGCACACACACATATAAACAAACACATATTCATGCATACAACAAACTCCACTTGGGTCAAAATTTTCATCGAAATAAAAAGAGAATTATAAATACGGCCAACATCGACACACCCAGGCAAACACACGCACACATCTAAATGTTCAAAGCCGGGTATACGCATTAACTCGCCTTTGGTGGCACTGTGCAGCGTGTTTTGGAATTTACACATACACTAGTACACACGTACACACACACACATAGTGACTGCGCGCCGCGCAACAACAGAATTCTGGACATAGGCAACTATACAACGCCGACTTCAACACAAAGCGAGGCAAGGGCGACGCTGCCGCATTCAGCGCCAGCTTGCACAATTTTTTTCGCACGCTTCATTTTGCCACTTACATTTGCTTCGAGTGCAACGCGGTTAACAGAAAAATATGAATATTAACTGTACAGAGTCTCAAATAATAACTCGTTAGCATGCAAATGCAAACACAAACACGCGCACACAATCATACGCGCGCACATATACCAATGGCGTTTACACAAATGAACGTACACAAAAATATACAATGCGCAACGCCCGATCACGTCAACCATTCACGACAAAAACAATTCGACAACTGTTTTGTGAGACCAGCGTGGAGAAACACAAAAAATAATAAATTACAATCGAACAGTGTGCCCACGTCCAGTTAACTAAATATTCGATAGCTTATGTTATATTTAAAGTTAACTGCTGTTACTTGTAATACAATGTTACGAAAACTGTTGTTCAACTAACAGTCTACTAACAGTTATGTCAGCTACATTATATATGTCTATACTCTGTTATTATATTTGAATTAAGCCACACATACAAACAGTATGAGTGGCAACCACAAGCGGAAAATTAGGCAAATGCAGTTCTGTTACGTTTAATGTTACATTTTCGGCTAATTCTCCTCTTTAATTTTTGAAGAGCCCTTAAGCAGAACTACTGCAAGTGCATGAAAACAAAGAGTTCAGAGACAAATTGTCATTATAAGTATGGAAAATATATGCTCTTTCACATTTCCTTTAAATTACCGCTATGCACATAATGCTTGAATATGTAATACACTTTCAAAGTACTCCAAAAACGGTGATGTGTACACCTGTTGCAATGTAAAAACACCTCAAAAATTAAAAAGAAAGGAGACTACATTTGTCACACTATCAAGTTAACAGACCGCTATGCGTAAGTCAACAGTGCTCAATTATGCGGTCTGGTAAGCTGTTAAACTTAAATGGCACTGTTGTTTTACATACTTATGTACATTTTTACCATGAAGATGGCTGCGCTACATCTGTAGTGCTCTAAAACGTTGAACCGAAAAATATTGGCGCGTTTTTTTAAAATAAAATAACAAGACCTATATATATATATGTATATTTATATATAAATAGTCACAACAATAATGAAATGAAGAATGGTCTTTAATAATATTACTGGGCGTTAAGAGAATCGGAAATGATCTATTTGCCTAATATTCAATTTAGTATTCTGTTAGCATAGAATTGTCAAAATAAAATTAATTTTCTTGAAATAATTTTTAGATTTTATTTACCACTATCACCTGCATGTGTGCTCGCTGCTTTGGTATAATTTATGCCTTCTTCTTGGTGAGAGGCGTGCCACTTTAACAGCCAGGTGCTTATTTGGGCTTCTGCTTTTGGGCACGGCCAAACGATCTTGAGAGACAACAAATAAGGAAAACAAACGGCGACTGCAAACAAACCAAATGCAACCTCAGCGCTGACATTGTTGTTTGTGCCATTGTTTGTTTTGTTTTGTTCTTCTTGTTGTTGTTGCTGCTGTTGCTATTGTTATTGTTGCTGACACTGACAAACACAGCTGTCGAGTGCGGCGCTTAAATGGCAAGTAAACTGCAACTCTTTGCTTTGCTAATTTTGCGAAAGGCGCCTCGACAATTGTGTGGGCGTGTTGAGCAAGAGAGCAAGAGAGCAAGAGCGAGAAAGAGAGACAGCGAGAGAGGGATAGAAGGAGAGCTGCCAGCCGAAGGTGGCAGCTTAAAGTGTTTTGTGGGGCTTCGGTGGGCGTGGCTGTGCACTTGCTGCTTATTATTTGCACTCGGCAAGGCCAGAAGCATAATAAATTGAGCGAGGTGGGTGTTGGACGTTGGGCGGGGCCGTGGGCGTGGACGGGGGCTAGGGCGTTCAGCACACTTGGAAATCTTTTATTCATGAATACCGCGTCGCCCCCGCTCCGTCAACCCATAAAATTGCACAATTTGAAGAGCCACCACCACCAACGGAGACATTTGGCCAAAAACGAAAAAATGTGTAAAAACATTTTTTTTTTGTATGCGCCTCAAGGATTTCGGCAATGAGGCTTGGTCCTGGCCCTGTCTGTTGCTGCTGCTGCTGCTACTGCTGCAGGCGATAGTTGCATAAATCATAAAAGCCATAGCCACAGATGTTGTTGTTGCTGTTGCTGTTGCTGTTGCACGCAAAAGGACTTTACGACACTTAAGCAGCGGCGCATTGAGAGTCACCAAGTATCTGAATTTGATTGCGCGGCCGCAACGTCTGTTGGGTTAACTCCTTCTGCCCCCTCGCTTTCCCGCCTCTTATTTATGAGGGTCTGATTCGTGCCTCTCTGGTTGCTTGTGGATTTGATATGCAGGCCCAAGCAGAAACTGTTTCAGCTTTATTGCGCTCAAATTGCTTCGCCTATAAACTCAGTCGGCGAAGGTCAAAAGGTTATGCAACAAGTTATGCTCTGTCTCCCAAGTAGCTGTCAATCATATGATAATTTGTAGACTGCTCGGGCGGCATTTACAAGGGACAAATAACGTTCTTTTTGGTTTTAAACTAATTCATGATTATGCAAAAAGAATATATTTTTATCAATTCAATACAATAATGGTTAACAATTTAAATTGTATTATATAATATATTTTTTTGCTTACCTAGTCAGAAACTTACATATAATTAATAATATAAATAATTTAAAATAGTTTCCCTCTTCATCTTTTCTTCACTTAGATTTCATGTTTTCTATATCTGCCATACTTCGGCCACCCACAACGACTCATCTAGGGATCTACTTGCAGATAGTTTAAGTTATGTCTCGACCTTAATAATACCACAGGTGTCACCTCTCAGGTGTCCTTCAATTATTAAATATTCATATACATGCTCTTACTCTCTAGAGAGATACAAGAAAATAGGTATAAAATCTCAATAAATTTGAGCTTCATTTAACATAGTTTAACATTTAATTTGTCGCTTTAATAGTTGACGAAATGCGTTCACACGACCTGACAGACTCATAGATGGACATGCCTGAAATAACTGAGCTTCCCTTCTGTTCATGAACATATACACTTCATGGAAAGCATTATGCTCTCCTCTTCTGCCTCTTCTCTTCGTTGCTGAGTTCAGGGCAAACAAATAACCAATGACGAAATTGGCAACTTTCACTCAAACACATATTTTTATATTCAAATTAAATATTTTACAATTTTTCTACAACTTCAAGACTTCAACGCTCAAGTTTTATCTGAAAACATGCAGAATAAAATATGAAAATAAAAAAGGAATAAATTTAATATTATTTTGCTTCAGTTTACAATTTGTGCATGAATGAGACACAATCACACAAATGTAAATAACAAATGTAAACATAAATATATATTCTATATACAATATATACATATAAAAGATATATATTTTTATATATGTGTGACCAGCTGCATTAGGCTTGAGCATATTTTGCATATGCAAATTCTTAATTTGATTGAATGGGGATTGGGGGAGCGTTGAGGAGGCGTTACGATCGCCTCTTACGTCCATTTCAGATTATTAGCAGGCGCTAAACGGTACTCAAGGAGGTGGAGCAGCCACGCCACCACGCGCTTTGCCGCAGGCGGCACGCCCACGTGACCAAGTATCTCACGAGCAGCCCACTTGTGAGCCGCGTACTTAATTTATGACTCGGCCTGCAATAATTCAAAGTCATAGGCCTCCGGAGACCATTCAGAACACTCGACCGCTGGCTATGGCCAACACTTGGCACAACAACAACAACAACATAAACATAAACAACAACAAGAGCGAGAGACAGAACAGAGCAACAGGGCTTACCACACCTTGCACTCTGAGAGAATGCCCGCTAGCATATTGAGGCTAAAGAATTTTTAATTAAAATATTAAAGCCTCAGCCGTAAGGTGTTTTTAATCTTGAAAATTGTTTTAATTGTTATTTAGGATTTGTTGCTTTTATTGCTGTTCTTGTGGCACAATTTATGTGCTCCTAATTAGAGCAGACAGACGCGCTGTCAGAGGTGCCGCCCCCTCACTTGCAATACTCGTTCTCATCGCTGAGGAGAGCATTTTGGCTTCGCTTCGGAACATCAAAATATTTCGGAATCTGCTTCTTTGACAATATATTAAAGAGATAAATAATAGTTGATTTTTGTTCAATTTAGTTGACATTTTCTGATCTATAGACTTAGATAAAAACAGAGTTTGCAAATTGTTAAAATTGTTAACAGATTAATAATTAATTTCGTCAAACTTATCCTGAACTTCGTCCGTAATAATCCTAATTTTGACTGACAGGATCATTGTAAACTTCAGTGCCATTCTAGCCATATAACCGAAATTAAATTACCACTTTAATTTCAAAATTATTTCTATTCAATAAAGATCATTTTATTGATATTAAAAGTATATTTCTTTACTTTATTATAATGTCAACTTGTGTAGCTCTAAAAAGAAAGCTAAACTCTTATCATTTACATTTTATAATATTAGATTTTAGAATTTTTAAGTTTATCCCTTATAATGATATTTCTTATCACCAGATATGCATAAAGCAAACCGACTAAAACTTTCTCATTTTTACTTCTAGAATCTTAAATGTTCCTTAAATGTTGTTGATCAATCTAGTGTTTATATGCTCTATACAGCAAGTCGGATAACACAATATCTTCCATAATTCGAGAGCTAAGATCAGCTAGTTCTGTAGTCTGAATGAAATATTTTCTTCTAGAAATATTTTTCTGTAACTGTAAATGTAAAGTGTTGCGCAGTCGATGGCGCCCGAGTGCAACACTCTAACTTGATTATTTACTGGCTTATACAAAATATACAAAACATAAATGAGAAATTATATTTTTTTTCCTTTATTTTTGGAAAAAACCTCATAATTACCATATTTTCAAATTACCATACGCCAAGTGAGACCGGGTCGGCATTTTCTTTATTTAACATGACGGCCATAAAAGCTAATTGTATGCGTGCATGACGGCCCCGGGGGAGGTGCGAAAAAGGGGGCTAAAAGCTGAAAGAAGACCAGATGAAGAAGAAGCTTGGCGGCGTTAAGGTAACCTTGGCTTGTTGCTGCTTGGTGATTTATATTTAATTGTTGTCATTATGGTCATCAAAATTGTGCGGCGGACCCCAACACCTGCCCACTGGCGCGCTTTTAATACCAACATCACCCACACCGCACCCAGCCACACAAGAGCAACTGCAAGAAGAACAAGAGAACGCGGCAATTAATTCAATTTGGCGGGCAATGTATGGGGCAGTCGACGCTTGTTTATTGTCGTCTGTGGATGCTTGAAGCGTGTAAATACGCTTAA